GTACACCCATCAAAATGTAAAGAACATCAAAATGAAATAAAACTGCCACTAGATCTATAATGAACTGGAGCATCGCCACTGTTGTCTCAGATCTAAATTAAAGCTCTTTTGTAGAGGGTAAAAGTGAATAAAACATAAAGACAAAGGACAAAATAGGAGACTACAGACTATTCACCCATTCATGGCCATCACATTTACAAGGCAACTGCCATTCATACTAATACAAAGTGGGCCACACAATTCTACCAGGTATGAAAGGCAGAAGAGCCCTTGTACATAAGAGGAAAAAACACTTTACTGTATTTTATCTCCATCACAAGTGGAAAACCAGTAACGAGGAACATCAAAAATCTCTTTTTGTTCTCCATTTAAAACTAACAAAGCACTTCCCTTGGTGCAATCTTATCAAAGGCTATAAATTTCTCAAGACAGCTAATCAATCACATTTGTTGTGGCAAAGGCACAAGATGCATTTAGTATGAAAGTATTTAACTGACTGATTTTCTTACTCAATGATCATCTTGCCAGTGGAGATCTATAAGTTGTTACAAAAGATATGGCGAAAAAATTCCCTGCCAAAAAGAACCAGCAAACCCACATTAGGGAGAAATACTATCTGTGTGCCTTGGATAAGTTTCTATATGCAAACAAACCTTATTTGGCAGAGTTTAATTTATGGGGAGAACTAAATCCTGATCAAGGGGGGCTTCTCCTATTGGTTTCATGGAGCGCCAAACTCAGAAAAATGCAGCCCAGGGCAGATACTGGTGGTTTCTGTAGCCACAGACCCAGCTGATATTCTTTAAGGCCAAAAATTCAACATCACATGATAGATGCTATTTACAAAGACTGCGCAAATCTTAAAAGATCAGGGCTACGTGGTGTTCACAATATTGTCCATTTATGCATGTATATACCTGGGGCACAGTCAGAGTTTCACATGCTACATATGTATAGATAACATTAAAGAATAATCCAGATACCAAATGCTTAAATATTTTTGGTACTGCTTCATCACTATATAAGCACATCGTGATACAACCTAATTCACTAAAATTAAAACTGAATAAACTTTTTACTTTTTAATCAAGGTTAGAAATTACATGAGATGTAATTATTTTACATATCCAACTGTGAAAGCTTCATTAAAATCCTTAATATTAAGTAATACAATAAAAGTTTTTGTAGTATTACAGCAATTTGCTGTTAACATCAATGCACTGAAAAGAAAAAGACTTTCTAATTTTTTATTTTTCTGGAGGACTTTGTGCAGTCAATTGCATACAAAAGTACATACTGAATATATGGTCACACCTATGTATATATCTATATATTCTTCTGAGTACAAAGCAAGAGAACAGAGTAGTTATGAGTGTCTTTCCACATCACTCACCGTTGGGTAGAGTGTGTATTCACCTGCAAACTTGGGCCCTTTGGCATTTGCCAGGTAGACTATCATAAACGGGTAAACTAGAAATGCAAATGATTATACAGATTGAAGCAACTCTTAACTACTTTAGACTTAAAACAGTCTTTGTTCTCTAATTAAATCATCTCTACTTGAGAGACAACTCAAGTTACAGGAAACACAAATAAGCAGAGCCAGGGTAAATAATTCCTTTTTACTATTTCTGGATCAATTAAATGCAATACTCACCAGTGTGCTCTTTCAGCAGCAGAATCCACATTCACTTCAATGACAGCAAACCATCATTTCAACTTCCAAAATGGCAAGACAAGGACAATGGAGAAAAAAAGATGGGTGAGGGGGTTGGCAGAAAGGAGCGAAAAATATCAAACAAAAAGCAATTTAATTTAAATACCTCATTGTACTAGATTCTTGCTACTAAATTTAAAGTTTGCTTTTAACTCTCATTTCAATGGATTTGCAGGGGAAAAAATCTAAAGAGTAAATTTAGATTAAATTGATCATTATAATTTACTTTATTAAAATAATATAGCTGAAAGACCTTTCTTCCAGTAAAGGGTTCTGGCTTTGATGTCTGATTGTTATGCAAATTCTGTGGAGTACAAGATATGGACAGAGGAATAATTAAGCTCGGGACTTTGTATGTAATAATTCTTACAAATGTAAATGTACACTGGTTTGAGATAATGATGTGTACACGCACTGGGAGCCAAACAAGTACCTTAGCAAAGACAGGAAACCCCACAAATACTCACCAATGCCTCCAAGCAGGCGTCTGGGACGGCAGGGCCAGGCTGCTGACACGCGCCGGGGGCACCCACACCCCCAGCAGCCCCAGAGGAGCCTCTCGTGCTGGAGACCCCCAGGAACAGTTCTCAGCACCAACACACAAACATTTGAAAAACAAAGTGAGCTTTGTTCTGGAAGATAAACATTGACCATATACATCTATATATTTCAAAGCACTCAATTAGAAACTGAACTTTGCCCCTTTCTCAGGCTTTGAAATATTCCGGCCCCAAACACAGGCCTTTATTCTCCTTTGGCGTGGGCATCACTCTCCCTCTCCTGCTCCCACACACCATATGGCCCCCAACCCTGGGACAAATTCTGCACTGATTTATGGCCTCTGCGGTCCAAGAGACTGACCTGTGGCATAAATCTGGGGGGCAGCGCACTTGGGCAGCCTGCAGGTTCTTCCCCATGCCGTCCCTGCTCCCATGTGCTCGTTTCTGCCAGCCAAGGATGAGGGATTTACACGCTACCGCTGGGAGCAGATCTGGGTTCAGGTCACATCACTACAACTCAGCAAGCAATAAGACCAAATGCAACGGACACCACGAGTGCCAGGACAACCTGAAATGTCCTCCAACAGAGAAGGGGGAATGCACTTGCCCTGTCGGCAGCTGGAGGCTCTGGGCAGTTGAGGTGCCTCAGGTGGGTGAGTGGTGCTGAGCCCACCGGCTCTGCCACCACCACAGGGCATGCAAGCTTGGAAGGCAGGGCAAAAGGCACTCACTGCATCACTGGATGCCAAAGCAAGAGTAATCCAGATTGGTCCCTCTGTAGACAAAATAATTCACAAAGAGGAATGAACACAATCAGTTTTTAAGGCACTACAGCCCATCTTCCCATCTCAAGACGACACACACACATAGAGCATGCAAAGGGAGCGAAGCAGCGTAGAGAGGCTGAAAAGGCACTCAGAGCTATGGACCAGGAGAGAAATGCCTTTGTTTCAGCCACAGTTTGGTAAAGAAAACAACTCCTGCAAGACAACTGTGGATGAGGAGGCCAGTTGCATTCACTGACAGACTCAGCGGGCCAGGCTGGGGCATTCGCTGAGCTGCTGCACAGGGGTTGCTCTCCAGAGGCACATTGGCTGCTCACAGTCATCCATAACACTGCTGCAAACACCATGGAGACATACAGGATTGTACGTTATGGGGGGGGGGAAAGGAGGAGAATTAATTTTCACTTTTTGTTCATCTTATTTACCTTTCAGTTTCACTAAGCTTGAAAATCAAGCCAAGTGATGATCAAATTCACCTTTTTATTTATAGCCGTTTTCACAACTTTTCCCAGAAAACAGTACAGGATGTTTACAATGAAATGAGAAATTGATTGATGCATCTTAAGTGCATTTCCTAAACACTCATCAATAAAAAAATATACACATGGACTTAAACGTCCTGATCCCTTTAAAGTGACCAATTTTGCGAAGGGGTTTTTTCAGTGTCTGTACCACATATGTATTTAAGCACACCTTTGGAAGGTGTGCTCTGCCACTCTTTGGAAGCTTTTCCACAGCACTGTGGTGGGGGGGTTTCCCCCCCCATCCAAAATGACAAGATTCCTGAGCCAAGTGCAACACTCAGTGAGGGATTTTAACTCTGTAAATCAGATGATACCACAATCACAGTTCAATGAAAGAAGCAAAAATCAAATCAAATCAAACAAAGAGATCCCATCATCCCCTGCCGCATCCTCCCTCCTCCCCCTTCCCACCCAACCAGCAGCTCTGTAGTCCATAAAGGAGATCCGAGGAGAGCAGCTCTGCCATACACTGCTAAGCACAAAGTAAAACATATGAAATACGCTACACACTTTGTGCTTGCTTTGTTGTTTTCACTCACCCAATGAAAAGGGCAATGGCAAACTCAAAGAGAAACATTTTAAAGTGATGTGCAGCACCTTCTGCAATTTGCTCTAACACACTTCAGCCAAGAGCCAGTTCATTCAAACACACTGACTACACTCAGCAGCACAAGTCCTGCGGGGTTTGCCTGGTGGGTCCTTGGGCTCGTCAGGCAGAGCAGCTGCACTTCGTTCACCCCAACACCACTGCGGGCACCATCAAAAGCAAACCAACTTTACATGGCAATAAATTTTTTATTCAAATAAGCTTGTCAACACCAATTACCACAACCACAACTGCCAAATACCAAGAAGCACTGTGAGGAACTCGGGGAGGCTGCTGCAGCCCTTGTTCCACTCTACAAACACCAAGTTTGGGATGAGGTCCTGAGGCCTCCAGGCATGGCGGAGCCAGGACCCGCAGGATGCAGCCCTGCATCAGCACATGGCAGCAAAGGAGCCTCCCCCGCTCTCTGCTTCCAGCTCTCAAAGCTAAGCCAGCTGTCAGCTCGGTTTCTTACATATGCTTTATCTGCTAAAAGTAACAATTCACACGAACCCAAGGATTTTTCATGACTAAAAATTGTGAATAAATAGTATTTTTCCATTGCTGGAAAACTCCAGCAATATGCCACATATTAGAAAAAAAATATGCCACATATTAGAAAAAAAATAAATAATTAGAAAAAAAAACATGTTAAAAGGTATGATTGCTGGCAGGACTATTCTGGAAGCCAGCACAATCTAAAGAGTTCCAGCAACATTAGCATGACACAGTTTAAGTTCCCAGTGTTTTCCTGGTACAAGCAGGAAACAAAAATTCCAGAAGAAACTCTCAGTACATGAAATCAAATCGCCACACAAAGTACCTTTTTTTCTGTAATATTTTATTTTATTTATATAGAAATACTTAAAAAAACATGAAGTAGCACCATTACTTAAGTTTTACTTTTATTATGTAGAACTTTAAATGTCAGAAAAATAAAACTCTTGATACAATTTCAAATCTTGTCTCAGCAAATATAATATTAGTATTTGACCATGAGGTTAAAGGCCCTTTATCATAAAATAAAATATACTTTGTTTTTAAACTTTGCTCAGTAAAGTACATTTAAGCTCAAGTAACGTCACCTACATATACATAAACAAGTGGTAAACAAATGTATTAAAATAGAAATACTAAAACTATAGTGGTGCAACAGAATTTTTGTAATTTCCACTGAATTCTATTTATACAAATGTTAGAAAGCTTCAACAGTTCCTTTTGACATATGTTTATACATTTCCATTTTTGTAATAATATAGAATAAAATATGCTTTATATCACTGAATAGAAAATATGCTGGGTGAAGCAGATTTAAAAGATTTTTTTCTGAACCTATAAAATCTCCATCCCAACAGAATACTGTTCAAAGCATTACACATTTTATGGTTTGTAATTCCGTTCACAATTGTGTGATATTAAAATAATACAGTGTTCTTTGCCATAAGGCCATACTAAAATAAAAAAGATTTAACCCAGCTACAAAAAGTTCACTGAACTTAAATTAAAATACTTGTAAACATCTTTGCAATATGAAATATAATTTTTCAAGTCAAAAAAGAATAAAATACTTCAATCTGTATTAATGCAATTTATCTTTAAAACCTTTAAACGTTTTTAATATATATAAGAGATATGTTACAGTTTTGTTGGTTTTTTTTTCTTTTTTCTTTTTTAAAGTCTGATAAAGCTGCAGTATCATGGTTTTTCACAGGAACTTCTTGCCCTTTCAAGAACATTCAGAAAAGTATCCACCCATAGATTTAATTATTTTGTAATAAGCATCCTAGAACTACCAGCACGTTTTACTAACAGTCCACACACCATTGTCATCATCATAAGCATCTTCTACTTTCAATTTTTTTTTTCTGGTTTTTGTTTTGTTTGTTTATAAAAAAAGGGGGGAGTTTTGGAAGCTTCGTATTAAAGTACAGTGTAAAAACTAGCCTAGCACTAGAATGGAGTCGCCCGTTATTATTTATAGCATGCACCCGCTGTCACACCACCCCCCAAGCCCTCCCTCGGCCGCACCCGCACCCCTGGCGGGCGCGGCCCCGGCCCCGCCGGCCCCCCCCGCCCCTGCCCCTGCCCGGCCCGGCCGCCGCTGCCCCCGGCGCTCAGGAGAAGATGCGGATGGCCTGGGTGACGGCGCTGTGGCACACGGGGCACTGCGGCTCCGTCTTCTCGCAGATGCGGTTGGCGCACTCCATGCAGAAGAGATTGTGGCCGCAGGGCACCAGCGCCGCGATCACCTCGCTCTCGAAGCACACCGAGCAGTCGCGGCTGCCCTTCCGCCGCACGCCGGAGGAGGAGCAGGAGGAGCTGGACGAGGAGCTGGAGGAGGAGGAGGACGAGGCGGAGGAGTCGGAGGGCAGCCCGGGCAGGTGGGCGCCCAGCCCGTTGGCGTACAGCGGGTAGGAGGCGGCCAGCAGCCGCCCGCCGGGGTCGCTGCGCACCCGGCGCGCCAGCGGGTGCTCGGTGCCGGCCGCGCTGCCGTGCAGGGGCGGGGAGAGCCGCGCCGGGGGCGGGGCGGCGCCGCGCCGGGGGCCGCTCACCAGCAGCGCCAGGTTGGCATTGGCGGGCGCGGCGCCCGGGAAGGCGGCGGCGGCGGCGGGCGAGGGCGCGGGCGAGGGCGGCGCGGCGGGGCCGCGCTCGAACTGCGGCCACAGGAGGGCGGCCCCGGGCGGCGGGGCGGGCGCCAGGTCGAAGCCGGGCGGCGAGTCGAAGGGCAGCTCGGAGCAGCAGTCCGGGGAGGAGAGGACGTCGCCGCCGCCCCCGCCGTACACGTAGCCGTTGGCGCTGTTGTTGTTGTTGTTGCCGTTGTGGGAGAAGCTCAGCGCCGGGCTCGGGGGGCTGTAGTCGGCCAGGCGGGCGCTGCCGCCCCCCCCCGTGCCGCCCCCGAAGTAGGAGTCGGTGGAGGCGCTGCCCAGCGAGCTGGAGCTGTCGTTGCGGTAGTTGCAGAAGGGCTTGCGGCCCGGGGTGGGCGTGATGCTGGGCGGTGTGGGCTTGCTCCAGAGGCTGCCCGTGCCGTTCAGCTCAAAGCCCACGTCCGTGCCGTTGGCGTGGAAGTCGTTCTCGTCCGTGAGCTCGATGATGCCGCCGGTGCGCATGGCGATGTGCGCCTCGATCTCCTCCCGGGCCCGGTCCACGTTCTCGGGCATGCCCGTCACCTCAAAGACCGGCTCCTTGTCCCGGCTCGGGGTCACGATGTACGTGTGCGTCTGCTGCTGGATGCGCTTGATGGTGGCCCCCTTGGGCCCCACGACCAAGCCCACCACGCGATAAGGCACCCGCACCTGGATGGTGGTTTGGCCGGGCAGGTTCGGGGGCCCGGGAACGGTGCCGTTCAGGGCTGTATTCTTGTTCCGCGAGGCTCGGATCATGGAGAAGTGCTCGGCCGCAGAGATGATCTCCCTGCGGGCCATGGCCACATCTTCCTTTCTGCCCGTCACAACAAAGAGCGGCTCCTCCCCGCGAACCGGGGCCTTGATGTAGGTGTTGGTCTTTGCCCGCAGAGCCTTGATTTTACAACCTGGGAACGAGATGCGGGAGATGGAGGGCGAAGGGGAGGGGGAGGAAGGGGAGGTGGTGGGGTAGAACCGGTTACAACCCATTGTTTGGGTGCAGCTAGGGAGGTGGAAAAAAACACACCCACCCGAAACACATTGCCCCCAGCCCCAGGTGATCGCTGGCATCTCGTCCGGGAGCCCCGGTCACGGTGTAAAGTAATGTCAGCCCACAGCCCTGGCACACGCCCAAAGGCATCGCAAGTGGCCACCGACACATCTGCCATGCAAACTGCCCCAAAACTACCAACGTGCAGTTCACAGAGACGGCAACACAAAAAAGAAAAAAAAAGGAAAAAAAAAAAAAGCGTGCAGAAAAACTGCACTGCATGGCCAGAAATAAAATAAGATAAAATGCAAGCAGACCTAACAAATCAACACACCCGCCAGTCCACATTCCTGCTCAGCACTTTCCTTTTGGAAAAATAAAATCAGTTCTTAAGAAGGTGAGGAGCAGCGGCTATACCGAATGAGCCACATTCCCCACTGCGGATGCTTTATTCCAATCCCATTGTTCCACTTCTCCACTCCATTTCTCTTCCTTAAAAATAATCCACGATTTTTAACTTTGGGGGGGTGGTGATAGGGAAGCACCGAGGCTCCCATTTTCCTCCAGTTTCCTCTTGCAAATCTTAACTTTTGCAGCCGGAGGAAAGGAGCGATTTTTATTATTTTCGTGATTTTTTTCCCCAACCCGGCAGCTGAAAGTGCATCTCGAAAGTGATGCATAACGCTCCTCGGAAACATCACGTCTGCTGCTGCACTTTCTTTGTCTGGGAGAAGCCGGCACTGGCCACCACCGCACGGCTGCAGCGTTCCTGGGAATGGCCAGTGTCGCATCTGAGCCGCCCGCCCGGCAGCGCGGAGGGGAGACCCGCGCCCCCACACCCCTTCGCATGCAAGGCACCCACCTTGTCTCCCCACTATCTCCGCGACATGTTCCGAGCTGGGCACCGGGACGCATTCAGTCATGTTCACGCTCTTTTTCCGAGGCTCGCTGTCGTAAATGGAGCCCGTCTCGTCGTTGTCCAGCCCCAGCAGGGAGAGCTGATCCAGGGCGATCTGAAGGGCTCTTTGGTCATCCAGGGTCTCTCCCCCGCCACCACCACCACCGCCGCCGCCGCCGCCGCCGCTCCCGTTCCTCTCCATGTCTGCAAAAAGCGAGCTGGGCATAGTCCCTGTGTGTGGTGCACCCTCCGCCTGCGCTCGGCTCAGTAGTAAGAGATGAGACACAAAGGAGAACCCAAGGCAGATGGCCAGCAGGAGAGAAGGGAAGGGAGGGTGGGCAACTGCTGCAGACCGGGGAATTGTTGCCTTTTGCTTGTATATTTTGTATCTTTTTTGCTTTTTTTTTTTTTCCTCCTCTCAGTGCAATCCGGTTATAAAGATGTTCTCAGGACCCCCCCCCAACGACTCCCCCCCCGGAGGTTTTTTTAGGTTGGCTTTTTTTTTTTTTCTCCTTTTTTTTTTTTTTTTGTCGGCTGGGGGGGTGGGGGGGGGGGGGGTGGGAAGAGGATAAGCGAGAGGAGCTCCGATGGCTTCCCCCCCTCGAGTTCCTCGCCGGCCACAATGCCAAGCGGCGGCAGCGTTTCTTTAAGGAGCCCCTCCCAGGCTCCACTCCACTCACTCAGCGATTTTTTTTTTTTTTTCCCTGCTCTCCCCTCCTCTGTCTGAGGCTCTGCTGCAGCCAGACGGCTCTGGAGAGGCGGGCGGGCGCGGGGCGGGGAGCGGGGGCCGCGCCGGCCGCCGCAGCGTCAGCGCCGCTCGCTCTGTCAGCCCCGCGCCGCCGCCGCCGCGCGCCGCGATTGGCCGGGGCGGCGCCGAGGGGCCGGCGCTGCCCCCCCGGCCCGGCCCGGCCCGGCCCGGCTCTTTGTTGTCGGGCTGCCCAACAATGCCGGGCCCCCCGGCCCCGCCGGCCGCTGCTCCCCCCCTCTCCGCCGCGCCTTCCCCCCCCGCCCCCCCACCCCCCCGAGCGCCCGCCGCCAGCCCCACCTGAGCGCTCGGCGGAGGGGGCTGCGCTTGGGGTGGGGTGGGGGGGGAAGGGTGCCCTTTGTGCGCCTCCCGCCGGGCTCGGGAGGAGCAGCAGCGCCACCGGCGGCACCGCAGGGCCCCCCCCCGGCCGCGGCCCCGACCCCGCACCAGCAGCGCCGCCGCCGCCGCCACCGCCCCTTCACCGGCCCCGCGGGCGGCGGCCGCGGGCGCGCGCGGAACCCCCCGCCGGCTCCCGCGCGGCCCCGCCCGGCGCGCGCCCCGCGCCTGCGCGCGCCCCTCCCTCCCGCTGCCCCTGCCCGCCCTCCCTCCCCCGGCGCGCGCACTGCGCCCGCGCGGGGCCGCGCGCGGGCCGGGCCCGACCCACACACCCGGCCCGGCTCCTGCGGCCGCAGCGGCGGAAAGGCCGCGCCTGCGGGCACCGGGCTGCGGCCGCCCAGGCGCCTCCCGGCCCGCCCTGCAGGCGCTGCGGCCCCGGCGGGAGCGGGGTCAGCGCCGGGGGGAGCCACGCCCCCGTCCTGCCCGGCCCGGCCGTGCCGCGGTGACCCGTCGGGTCCGGGACAGAGCGCGGTGACACCGCGGGCACAGCGGGACCGGCGGCGCTGCGCCCCTCTGCTGTGGTGCCTCACGCCCCTGTGGTGGTTCCCGACACCCCCACGGCTGCCCCGGCCCCGCAGCGTCCACGTTTCCGGCCACAGAGAGCCCGCAGGGGAACAGCGCCTCTCGCACGGCCTCTCGTGCAGCGCAGCGTCACCAGCATCCCAGGGCTTTTGCTAAACCGCTAGAAAATAGATCACCCTCCCTCTTCCTTGGACCTTGTACCGCCAAAGGACCCTTCAACCAGTGAAAGTTGGTTTTGCTCTCAAGTACCCTGTCCCAAAAACTTTGCTTCGGTCTGGTGACTAGATATGAAAGTGTCCTCACCTTTGTCATAAAAACGCCACCAATCACATTTCTCCAGCTCTTCTCCCTCTATCTATAAGCACTCACACTCAGTCCTTGCCAGCTGTCAGGTTCAAAACACTGACATTTTCGTACTTCAGAGAAATCAAATAATAAGTAATTGTTTTCCAGTATCAGGTATGACGGGGGACAGACGTTTACAAGTGCACCCGGATCTGTTTAGCCAGCTGCCTGTACAAACAAGTGTAACAAGTCACAGGTAATTGTTTACACACAGTGTTTATTGCAAATTACTGTCACTTCCTCAGGATGTTAGCATGTTGTATAACAAAGCTCCAGTGGATTGTTTTCTAGCAAGGGTATACACTGGTGATGTGCTTTCGTAAGTGCTGAGCTTGTCCCATCAACTAAGTTTCATACTTAAAAGATTACTTATTTTACAAACTATATTCCATAGGCAGCAGTAGTGGTTTCCACGGGGTAAATGAGAGATTACTTATAAGTTCTCAAGGATCCATAAGGCTTATAACAACAAAATAATGCTCTTTATTATTAAATAAAATAGAAATTAAAAGTCTGCTTCTTTGCAGTATTTTTAACTCAAGGACTCTAAAACCTGTGAGACAGAACATAACTGTACCCATTTACCAGAGAGGGGCAGGACAGGACAGAGGTGAGGGAAAGACACATCAGTGTAGAGGACTGGTGGTGTTGAAGTCCAACAGCGAGAGTCACAAATGCTGTGAGTGCAAAGATATGAGGAGAGCCGTTTGGGTTGTACTTGGATTTTACCTGGTTTTTGTTTTGTTTCTTCACCTGACTCATCCCTTTTTCTCTCCCTCCCCCTTCCCACTCCATCTGCTTAAACTGTGTGTTTCTGCCCAAGATCACTGTACTGTACTGAACATCCATGTACTGACTGAGGAGAAAAAGGAAAATGAGTTATCTTCAGGTTTATGTTCCTCTATAGGAAAAAGTTTCCCAAAGCAAGAGCCCAGGCAGATCTAGCTTTATTTTTTAATGTCAAGTTAGACGCTCTAATTAAAAATGTTTAAAATACATTTCAGAATAAGCATGATCCTTTCAGGGGGCAGGGGGAGAAGAAGATGCATTTCTGGGAGACTAAGCATGCCCTGGTGTTCCAAGAGTCCCATGAATCCTGTGGAATGCTCCCACATCTTTAGGACTATTACTTTTTTTAGTGTTTTAGAAAACATTTAAGAGCAAACTACAGGGAATAATAACAATTAAAAAGTTCTACTGATATACCTTAAAACCCACATGCACCAACAGCACAGCCCCCAGGGAGCACAGCATCTATGCAATGGTGTGCTCGTATGGCAACAAGCAACACACACCAGATTTATATGAATTTACTCCCTCCATGGAAATGTTTCTTCAGAATAACTTAATCAAGTCTAAATTAAAGTGTTACCTATCTACGCAATGCCTTTCATTCCATAAAACCTTGAAACATGCACAGAATTAAACTCCATCTCTGGGGGAGAGACCAACCATCTACCTACCAATTTACAGCAATTTAACAAAAGCAGGAAGGGAGGATATATTACAGGCAAATACAGGACTCACTGCAGGAGGAGTGTAATTCTCAGTCCTTTTAGTTTCTCTCTGTTATCATTTCCCATTTGTGACAGAGGTAATAAAACTTCCTTCCTCCAACCTTTATTTAATTAAAGTGTAAGGTCTTTAGGGCAGTGAGCTTACTGTGTGTATATATACAGCACCTAGCATGAAGAGGTCATGAATTAATCTCAGGCCTTTAAATACTACTGTAAATACAAAGCATTAGCAATAATAAGAATAGAACATAATTTCCATTTAGAATAGATGAGACTTCTGTTTTCAGTGTGTTATCACAAAGAATAAATTGCAGGCATCCCAGGGAATAATTAAATTAGGGGTCAAGGAAAAGTATTTCATACCAGAGACTTGCACCTCCACTCTGTTGTTTACACCCAAGGACACTGCTGCCCACTGTTACAGCATTTACTCAAAATTCTTATTTGCCATAATCTTACAAAATAATGTCCCAAATCCCATAGGTCAGATCATCAGTAAGAGTAGGGGTATAGTTTATTCTGAGACAGTTCATGTGATTACTGTGATGACATACCCAAATTAACCTTTTGCATGTGCAATAAACTGCAATTAGCAATCTGTAGACAAATGACAAGTTCCTTCGTTTCCTGTAATATGCAGCAATACACAAGCCAGATTTCCTATTGAATCCCATATTAACCTACATTCGGTGGCAGTGAAATCTCAGAGCACCGTGTCAGAATTTATCATCTTTCAATGATGTTAGCTCCACCTCTTGACAGTTCTAGACAGGATGTTTATAAACAACTCATCCAGAATCTGAACAACTGCAGCTGAAAATGTTTATAATTTTTTCACCAGTTGTTCCAGCCACTTTGGATGCTTTTACTTAGGAATGGCCAGAGCTCTCAAAACAGTATGGCTGTGTTAAATAAATGACAAGAAATAAAATGGAGATGGAGTAGTGAGTGGCTTCGTGATGCCTCTCTGAGCTACTAGGAGGCTCAGGGGTAGGGAAGCTGCAGAAGTGCCTCCTTCCCTTGTGATAAGAAACATCACATCAAAAAATACAGAGACATGATGCTGATGATTTTCCCCACATGTGCTTTCATCCCCATAATTCTACACCTCTCCCTGTTACAGAATTCATTTGCAAAATATTTTTTTTAAAAACAAAGATCTTCTGGGACAACTTGTGAAAAGCAATTTTGCTGCAAACCAGGAAAAGTCTCACACCTTTAACAGTCACCATGCCTCTGAAAATCTTGATAGAGTGCTGTAAATCTAAACCAGTTGCTAATGGCTTTATTAAAGTGCTTGTTTTCAGTATGATAAACAAAAAAAAAAATTTGTAAGAGGCATCGCTTACTGCACTTTCTTCATGTGCCTGTGCTGTTAGTGTGACATGAGCAATTAGTGTGTGCTCGCATGTAGCGGATGAACTGCCTTATAAGAATGCAGTTGTTTAACATGAGTGATGGAAAGCAAATCAAAAAGCATGAAGATGCCTTTGTGATAAGTCAGAACTAGCCAGCCAGACCACCTGCCCACTTCAAAACTCTCCACCTGGATTGCTGTTCCATTCCGCCTCTCGCTCGTGAACCAGGGTTATCGCACAGTGTATCTGAATTAAATGGCGCTTAACAACCCTGCCAACCAGAGTTTGAAATGCAAATCCCTTCTGCCTCTCCTTTGCTCTCCCACTCCTTGTTCGGAGTCCAGCCTTCCCTGCTGCTCCCGCGAGCAGCTCCTCTCCGCACGGCTGCAGGATTGGAGCTCTTTGTTACCATGGCCCGTGGGCCAGCACTGCGTCTGCGATGCAGCACTGGCGTCTCCAGTCTGTAAGGCACACACCACACTTGTGGGCACTGTCTGTTAAACTGTGGCTAGATTAAAAAAGAGGAAAAAAAAAGATTTATATCTGTATGTTTAGACTGAGCTAGATAACTCATAGATCTCTGAGGTAGCTCATAACCTTGAGTCTTTTTTAATCAGTTTTAATCTCTGAAATAGTAAATTATAATTAAAATTTAATTTTAATCTCTGAAATAGTTAATTATAATTATGGTCATAAAACATGTACAACCTTTGCTTCCTCTCTCCTCCATCCCTCACCTCCTACTCAGTATTGCTACAAGGAGGGGGAGAAAATAATTGTCCCATTAATGGTGATTGTTTATAAACTCCTTTGCACAGAGACTATGTTTATATACAATGCCTAGGCAAAATCTAGGCACAAATGCAATACTCATAATAAACGAGTGAATAATACATCCCTGACCATAAACCCAGTGCTCTCCAACAAAAGAATATCTAATTCCTGTCACAGAATTGCCTTGTAGGTTGAAGTTCAGCATACAAATACACAAGGGAAAAGATTAGATTTTAATTGATAAATATTAATCATCATTCATTGCTGTCTCTGCAGGAAGCCCAGTGCTAAAACATCTAGTTAATATACAGTATAATGGATAACCTTGAGGCAGAAGCTCTTGCATCTGTCTCTATCCAAGAAAAAATGTCAACATCAGCCTTTGTTGTAGCAAAATACCCTGACATCTGAATGGAATTGCTGCTGCTGGAAAATTGACTGTCTCCACTGCAATCCTTCCTAACCCGGGTCCAGTTCCTAAGCTAGAGACAAGGCCAAATTAAAAATCTTTATCTGTGCACACCTGTACTTACTAATGTTTGAAATCTGGTCTGGGTCAGAACACTGTGTTTGTGGTTCATCTCCTCTCTGAACAAACACATTTCTCATGTGATGCTCTCACTGCAACCACAAAGCATTAGCACTCACAAGAGCATCATTGAAGATACTCGGGCTGTTCATTGAGAACAAAGCCATTAATGATTAATACTATGGTGGGAGAAAATGCAGCAGTATTTCTTGGCAGCTGAAATGTGGCAATGTCTGTCCTACGTGCAAAAGACTCACGACTACCTTTAGCTCTCTACATAAAATGGTTCTTATTAGCTCTGTGGGAAGAAGAATCAAACAAATCCCCCAAATTAAAGTGAAGGAGATTTTCACATGTAAAACTGGATATATACAATACATCTCTCTCTGACTGACCCAGCAGATGCAGAGATGCATTTATGTATCACAGGCATTACTGTCCCAGCAGATGCTGTAAAGTTGTCACTGACACAGACTCTTACTGTCCCCACAGATCTGTATTTTGGGAGGGAATTTTCGTACCACAGACACTACTGTCCCTACAGAACCACATCTGCTGGCCGAGTTATTGTCTGACATACTCTTTTGCCTCCAGCAGATGTGAGAGACTGCCAGGATGGCAGGCATTTCTGTCACAGCAAATCTCCATCTACAGGGAATTAAACTGCAGCTTAAACTACTCTACTTCCTGAGCCCTTAATGTGGACAATACTTACAGGGAGGAAGCAACATAAACCAATGAAAATATAATGCTGGGCACCTAGAACATCACCATTACCTCTGCCTAAATACGGCTGTCTTTGGGGAGGTGTCAGGAGGAGAAAAAGAATTACTTGCATCCTCCTCCCATCCCGCCTTTAACAGGTATTTATTCAGAGAAACTTTTGAAGGAAAATGTGTCTGATACCACTTTCATATAAGAGATCCAAGAAAGCAGAAGTCATTCGTGACTACAAAGTTGACAACCTTAATGCCCTGATATAGGGACCAAGTGTATGTGCTAGGTCATTTCAGCTTGCTTTTGAACAGAAAATTTTCAGTTTCCAATTTATTAACACCAGAAGATTTGATCCCCCATTCTAGAGTCCCAAGAGCAGAAATAAAGGGGAGGGATTTGTATGGCTAGACTTTCCCTTCAGAGTGAACTCACCCTAAGGCCCATACCAGTGCATGTACTTACATATAAATGATATGTATGGTATGTGAACCTGGACTTGAGAGCTGTCTTGGGCCTTTTTTTGCCTGACTAGATGTATCCTTTATGATTTGGTACCAGAGAGAGAAAATCTCCCCTGGTAATTCTGCAGTAATGTAAACCCTACTTGAAGAAACATCATCTAACTTTGGAATTCCCCTATGGGGAGTCTGGGCATTTATCTGGAGCATCAAGAGCTGTTCATTGGCAAAGGCAGGACACACAAATTCCCAGGGTAATAATCTGATACAGCACAGCAAAACCTATATCCTTGGAGCAGATTGTGGGAAAGCATCAAGATTTTGGTTGCTCTGCCAAAGCAAACAAGATGTTTCAAGCCCCATCATCTGCTCTGCAGTTCACACCCTTCCAGTGCTATCTTTTTCAGATGCCATGCCACACTGGTTAGTGGCAATGCTGTTGTCATGTGTGACTCATTCCATTTTACTGGAAATTAGAAAACCACATGCTGCACTGAAGAACTGCTTATTTATGTAGTCATATCATCCCAGAGAGCACTCCTCCTGCCATTATTTGTATACAGATTATTTTAGAATTTTGGAAATACAGCTCTACCAGGGTTCATCCAGAGGACAGATTAATCAATAGCACATTGCTCTTTACAG